CATACATACATACATACATACATACATACATACATACATACATACATACATACGTGAATGTGAATGTGAATATGAATATGAATATACACACACATATATATGAAATAATATTTTTTTAGGAAATATCCTACAAGCTTTTTGGCTACTTTTGCTAAAGATAAAATTTCCCTTGATGTTTATAGCTATTATTGAATGCATTGTCACTTCTGTTTTGTGAATTTACTCATTATAATGGCTAATTTCGATTTTTGATTGCTTCAACAGTCGAATCAAAGAAGAGAAAGCAAAAGATTACCCCAAAAGTATCCCGTTGAAGATTCTTGCAAAGGATATTGGAAATTGTGTATATGTAAGTGTTTCTCACTCCCAGTTTGAATGAGCAGTGTGTCCAACGCAAATGTTTTGTCTGCTTCTTCAAAAGCATCTGTAAAGAAACAAATTATTTTGAGTTGTACAGAGTTCACAATCTTCTCCATTTGTTTGGCTACTCTGTCTGGTTCCTCAGATTTTTGGTTTACTCCTTTGGCTAATAGTCAGTGCTAGCACTCCTTCCTAATCAAGGGATAAGCATGTTTGAGACTCATAGAACCAAGGTTGGCTAAATGCTTGAGAATTCCACCTGCCCATCAAGAATACATAACAGTTACATGACAGTGCAAATCTTTAATGCAGAACAGTGCACTAAACCACAGTGCATTGTTAATGTCTATGGAGATTCTCATCATCCAGGCCATGGTTGTCCCAAAGATACTTTTTCAAGAGGCAACTGGACTTTCTGATTTTTCTTTGAAGACATTTCGCTTTTCTTCCAAGAAGCTTCTTCAGCTCTGATTGGATTGGAAGGATTTTTATCCTTGCAAACAGCTGGTCATTTGCATTCTTTTAGAGCAGGGGTGTCAAACTCAATTTCATTTAGGGCCACATCAAGGTTGTGTTTGACCTCAGAGGACTGGTGGTGCCCATGGGGGGGGGGCGTGGTCATGGTGGGCATTTGACACAATCTTAAGATGCGCTTTCCCCCTTCTTTCTTTCCACAGTTCTTTACTATAACCATTTTCCTATCTCTTCTACCAGATATTACAGGCAAACATTTATTGCTTATTCTTCACTAAACTTTTTATTTCTAAATTCCACCCCATTGTTTAATAGTAAATTGCTTTTCCAGGCAGAAAAGCTATTTATACAGCATAAATAACATGATAACACAAGATCTAACAGCAGAGGTAAACTTCCAGGATAGTTAATAGAAATGATTGTCAATTATAGATTGTTGGTTGTAGATTAAATGGACCTACAGTATGTAAAATCCGGCATTCAACTGTAGTATTAATATAGGATGTTGCTTGTTTTCTATCCAGATCAGGCACTAACTTAAGGCCACATAATTGTAATCTAGTCCAATTCAGTCATCCTGCAGCATTTTGCTGGCTGTGCGGAGATCTCAGTCCTCCAGAAGCATTCTGCCAGCCAAAAATGGGACACACAGAGGCCCCGCAAGACCTCCTCATGGCCCGTTTTTGACCGGCAGAGTGCTGCTTGAGGCCAAAAGCTGGCCACACTGGAGCCACCCGGGGCTCCCCCCCGTGGCCCATTTTGGCCAGCAGAGGCACCGCAGGCCGGTCCTTTGATATTTTCAGGCCAGTCTCACAGGTCAGATGTAAGCACCCTGTTGGCCATATCCGGCCCGCGGGCCTTGAGTTTGACACCGCTGTTTTAGAGAGTAGTTGAGGCCACCTGGAGGTTTCTCTGTATCGTCAGGGTGGTGAGTGGTGTAAATGGGTGTGGAACTTTCTTGGAACTGTTGAAAGGACCATGTTGTAGACTGGAGATAGGTGATGTCATACACCCCCCCTCTTTTGAGAGAGGGCTGCTACAAAAACTAGAAAGTCCAGTTGCCTCTTGAAAAAGCACCTCTGGGACAGTGCACTGTTAAACACAACAGTTCAGAGCAGTGCAAAACAGATGCATCTTTCTCTCTGGGAGTGATCATTCTTAAAAATACAATATATAGTAATAACACCAGAAATACTCATGAGGAGACAATAGAGTGGCTTTTTAAAATAGTATGTTTGGTTTGTGGATTGCTTCTCCTCCCCCCCCCCCCACAGCTAGAACAGCTGGACATCCCAGGGGATCAGCTTCCTTTTATCTGCAAATTGGGATTAAGTGGAGTGGGGAGGTGACATAAGCAACCCAAATTACTTTTTATCACAGTCTTACCAAAGGCAAGCTGTATGCAAATCTGCTGACCTCCTCCCGGGTGCCAGATATCACTTCTTTGCAGAAATGTTAGCTTTGTTTTGTTCATGTCATAATTATTCAGGTGCATCCTGGAGCAAAAAAAATAGACTTCAGTTCATACTGCTTCAGTTTACCTTCTATGGCACCGTCCGTACTGTATAATTTTCTGGCTCTCTGCGGCGGAAGACGATTGTGAGCAGCTGGCGAAAAGGAAACACGCAGAGATTGTGGAATTGGAAGTTTTGTGGGCTGGTTTTGAAATTAATGGTGAAACGTTTAATATGTACGTTGATTTAAAAGAGGAAATCTTTCTCCAAAAAAAGAATGTTTCTGGCTTAAATAACCCTCTTTAAGAGTTCCCGGTTAAGATTTTGGCACTTGTTGGAGATTCTTTCTGAGAGGCAGTGGTGAAATTCAAAATTTTTACTACCTGTTCTGTCGGTGTGGCAGGGGAAGGATACTGTAAAATCATTCCCACCCTACTCTGGGGCCAACCAGAGGTGGTATTTGCCAGTTCTCCAAACTACTCAAAATTTCCGCTATCAGTTCTCATGAACCTGTCAGAACCTGCTGAATTTCACCCCTTCTGAGATGGATTGAAATTATGGCTCATAGTATTTGAAGGAGTATTCCAGACTCCTATCAGCTGTGATTATAGGTTTATATTTAATGAATCTAGAAAGAGAGATGTGGTGACTTAGTGGCTAAGACGCTGAGCTTGTTGATCAAAAAGGTCGGCAATTCGGCGGTTCGAATCCCTAGTGCCACATAATGGAGTGAGTTCCTGTTACTTGTCCCAGCTCCTGCCATCCTAGCAGTTTGAAAGCATGTAAAAATGCAAGTAGAAAAATAGGACCTACCATTGATGGGAAGGTAACAGTGTTCAGTGCACCTTTGGTGTTTAGTCATGCCAGCCACATGACCATGGAGACGTCTTCGGACAGTGCTGACTCTTTGGCTTTGAAACAGAGATGAGCACTGCCCCCTAGACTTGGGAACGACTAGCACATATGTGCAAGGGGAACCTTTGCCTTTATCTTAGAAGGAAGACAGCTCCACAAACTTAGGAGTTCAGAATCAAGTTTTAATTAACTAGAGCTTCTTGTGTCATACTAGGAATGCGGCTTAATATTGTGACTAAATCCTGGAATAATATTAATTTTTAAAAAATAAAACATTGGTGCTTGGCACATTTTGTCATAGTAGACGGTACAAAAACATTTAGTTAAGGGAAGGTAAAAGGAAAAACTTTCATGTTCCATATTTTTTCTGTAAAGAGAGTAGAAAACGTCTACCAGCCCTAAACCCACTGCGGCTTATATACTTTGGTCTGAAATTCAATATAGCATGAGGTGCAACTATAGGCAATGTGTAAAATAAATCCCTTATTATTTAAAATCTCAAAATAAGAATATTAAAAAAAACCTTTGCCAAGATCTAGTTCTAGTTTACAAGCAGTTAGAGCAGAGCTGTCAAATTCCTGGCCCGCAGGCCAGATGTGTCACGTGCTGGCCACGCCCATGCCCAGTTATCGAAGGGGGGGGAAGTCTCGATAGATCATGTGACGCTGCCGTAACGCTGTGAGTTTGACACCCCTGAGTTAGAGCATCTGGTTTTTGTTTTCGGCCTTTGAGCTTACATATAGTTATCAGAGTTGCTCCTAGGGAGGAAAGCTCCCCAAATCTAGATAGCATACTAAAAAGTAGAGACATCACCCTGCCAACAAAAGTGTGTATAGTCAAGGCTATGGTTTTCCCAGTTGCAATGTATGGCTTCTTGGACCATAAGAAAGGCTGAGCGCCAAAGAATTGAGGCCTTTGAACTATGGTACTGGAGAAGACTCCTGCGAGTCACTTGGACTGCAAGGCAATCAAACTGGTCAGTCCTAGAGGAGATCAACTCTGTCTGCTCTTTAGAAGACCAGATCCTGAAGATGAAACTCAAATACTTTGGCCACCTAATGAGAAAGAAGGACTCACTGGAGAAGAGCCTAATGCTGGGAACGATTGAGGGCAAAAGAAGGAGGGGACGACAGAGAATGAGGTGGCTGGATGGAGTCACCAAAGCAGTCGGCGTGAGCTTAAATGGACTCCAGAGGGTGGTAGAGGACAGGAAGGCCTGGAGCAACATTGTCCATGGGGTTGCGATGGGTCGGACACAACTTCGCAACTAACAATAACATAGTTGTTATACACCCAAATTCTGACTGCCATTTTCATCTGCTTTTTTTTTTTTTTTTTTGGAGCAACAACGCAGATTTCATGTTTCTCTTTCTTCTTCACAGTCAAAAACCTTAACCATTACTAACCTGGACACAGCAAACGACGTGATCCTCTTGGCCCTCCAGCAGCTCGGAATTAATGTGAGATTGATTGTTTTTTTGTTTCATTTATTTATGTTGGCAAATAATGACACCGTTTACAGTATTATAAAGTAATCCTGATGCCTGAAAAACATCATTTTGCATTACACAAGTTTGGTCATCTTGAAAAATAATTACTGGGATAAAGAAAGTACTTAATTCAGAGGAGGAAATATATTGCTTGAATTCAATTTTCCCCCTCCTCTGTTAAGTAGAGAATATGAGCCATCTTTCCTTAAAAGCAATACAGAACTACACTATAAACCAAACAAACAAACTCCTACAATATATCCTGTGCTAATAGGCTAATACAGTAGACTAGGACAATACAGTGGAAGGTCAATTTCTTCAATTAGCTGCATGAAGTTCCAATAATGCTTCTATTTTAGGAAGCACCTGCCCCAAAATTACTAGGAATTCCCCATTTCAAATAAGTGAGCAATTTTTCCAAGGACAATTTTATCCAGTGCCAAAAAATGCCCAAACGGTATAGCTTGTGTCACCTAAGATCCTGGAATGCTATGGCATGCTAAGAAACAGTGGATTTTTCTTGTATGGGGAAAAAAAAGGCTCCAGATCATTCTGAATGGATAGTTAGATTCTTTGGAGATTCTCAACCATCCTGGTCACCGTTGTCCAGAGGTGATTTTTTTAAAAAGGCAATTGGATTTACTTGTTTTGCTTTTTAAATTTGAAAACATTTCGCTTCTCATCCAAGAAGCTGAAGAATTGATCTGAAGAAGCTTCTTGGATGAAAAGCAAAACATTTTCAATAAGCAAACAAAAAAAAACTACTAGGAAAGTCCATTTGCCTTTTGGAAAAAGCACCTTTTGGACAATGGGTAGTTATCAATAAAGGAGAATATTTGTAGCTCAGGGTGCTGAGTCCCAATCCACCCCTACCCGCCCCCCGCCCCCCCGCCCACGGCAAAATAGAATGGAAGTGGAAGATAAGGAGGAGGACACTTCTGCTTCATCTTTCCATGAAACAGCTGATGATAAAATGGATCAGAGTATTTGGTGCTCCCAATGAATGGGAAAGCTTTCAGACAGTCTCACATTTGAAGCAATGGACCAACAGACAATGGGAACCTGGCCTATTTGGATCATAAAACTCTGTGGTCCCCCCCACCCCTGTCTCCCTGCAGGGATGGCCAATTACCCATTGAGGAGTCCTTGGTGGTCTCTGAGCTTGGTTGTTTTCTTGCAGACATTGCATTACCCCAAGCACCCCAAGTAGCATCATCGGTGCTAGTAACATCAGCACCTATAGTTCGGTACTGAAACGTCTGCAAGAAAACAACCAAGCTCAGAGAGCACCAAGGACTCCTCAATGGGTAGTTGGCCATCCCTACCGGGGGGCGGGGAAGAGAACAACAGAATTTTATGATCCAAATAGGCCAAAACCTCCAATTGTCTGTTGGTGCATTGCTTTAAATGTGAGACTGTCTGAAAGCTTTCCCATTAATTGTGAGCAACAAACACTCTGATCCATATTCTCATCAGCTGTTCCTGGAAAGATGAAGCAGAAGTGTCCCCCTCCTTATTTTCCACGTCCATTCTGTTTTGCCCAGGGTGGGTGGGGGTGGGAGGGATGGGACACATCCAGTTGAATGATGCAGATCAGGAGTTTAACTTGGAACCAGTTTGGAGTAGAATAGCATAGAAACACCGGTAGTGAAAATGAATTAAATCTTGCTGGTTATTGGCACAGGGTATATTCTTGGTCTAGGAGTTTGTTTGTTTGTTTGTTTATTAATGGAGCTCTGTTTTCTTTTGTAGTTCCTGCTCTTGGGGGCTTAGTGAATTTGCAAGACACCCCATATCTGTCTTTTGTGTTGTTTAGTTTTGGCTTTGTGAACATACGGTTTTTAGAAAAGAGCTTTCCGACATGTTCCGCCTTATTGGAAATCTTTGCAAAGGGGAGCTGGAAGCATGAAATCAATTGGAATGGAAACAAATTTCAAGATGGAAGAAATGCTATGTTTTTCGCCCCTTTCCCCTTTCATTTCCTTCCTTTTCAGTTCACAGTCATGCCATGTCACCACAGTCTGGGGAGTTCCATATGTGGAAACAGCAGCTGCAGTCCAGCTCTCTCCACAGCACTTAGATTGCATACAATTGTCACGCCTGGTCAAAATACAGCCTTTGGTGTTTTTACCCAAATGTGTAGGGAGTTTTCAGAAGCTCTGTCGGGGCACATATTACAACAGATGTGCCAATAGTGTATATATTTAAGTCTTCTGCTATTTGATTTCTGTTAAAAGTCAGTGACCTCTGCTGTAGTCTACAACAGCTGTGTTAAGGACACATGTTTAAATTTATAATGTTAAATAAATCAGCTTTCTGTTCATTCTAACAGATGCAGGATTGTATTTTTTTAAAGGGTTCTGAAAAGGATTATCAGCTCTGGGTTAATTCTGGGAAAGAAGACGCCCCTTATCCTCTTATTGGTAAGTGTACAAAAAGCGTATACTAATGGTGTGGAATTTGCTTTATGTTATATTCCTTAAAAGGTTTCAGAGTCAATAACAGCTAAAAAAAGATAACAACATACATGTAGTCCTTGACTTACAACCACAATTGTGACTGGAATGTCCATTGCTAAGCAAGGCAGTCGTTAAGTGAGTCATACCCAATTTAACACCCTTTTTTGCCACAGTTAAGTTAATCATGCAGTCGTTTAAGTGAATTCAGCTTCCCCCAATTACTTTGCTTGTTGGAAACTGGCTAAGAAAGTCACAAAAAGTGATCACATGATAAACACATGAATTTTGATCACATAGCCATATGGATGCTGCAACAGTCGTAAATGTAAGGACTGGTTGTAAGTCACTTTTTTCAGAACTTATAATTTCAAACTGTAATGAAACGGGTGGTTCTAAGTTGAGAACATGTAATAAAATAGATTGAACTCAAAATAAAATAATATTAAACATTACTCGTGATTTTGCTATTCAAAGACAGCCTAAATAAAGACATTTTTAAAGTCATCTAGTACACCGGCCCCTAACCTTTTGGGCACCAGGGACTAGTACCGTGGATAAAGTTTCTTCCGTGGACCGGAAGGAGTGTGGTTTCGTGTGATGCCTGCATCCCTTGGATGGGGCTTCACTTGTTTATGTGGACCAGTTTCTGGCATGTCACGGCCGGGTGCCAGTCCACAGACTGGGGTTGGGGGACCCCTGATCTAGAAAATCTTTACTGCCAGCATTGTATTAAGTAAACAATCAGAATAAATATATTTTAAACTAATTAATAGACTGCAACAACAGTATGGAATTTCCTCCTATTTTAGGGACGCAGATTCTGAAACCTCTGACTTTCTGTTGGTTTGATGGGAATTGGAGCCTATTAATATCAGGAAGGCTCATCGGGAATTTAATTTCATATTTGAAAAATCAAGACAGGCTTCACTTCATGAAGCCATTATATGGTTAGGGTTTGGCTGTGCTGCATGCATATCCATCCACTGTGGTTTGTAAAATGTGATAAATGGCTTCAGATGTTGTGCAAATCAGCAACAACACCTGGGGACAAATCATGGTTTATCGTAGTACATTAAAAGAAAAACAACACAGAGTTGTTCCAAATGTGATTCTTATCTGCAATCTCTCTTGGCACACTTACTGAAGATAAAATGACACGTTCTTGGCTGATTTTGTCAAATATGTTTTTCTTTAAAAGAGTTCAGAAAACTTACTGTAACATCCCACTTTTGCTTACTTCCTGTTGTGGTTTTGGCATATTGAGCTAGTTAAGTTGGGGTAAAGAAAAAGAGACTGTTGTGGAGTGTGGAATTTTTATGATGACTTTGGTTTGGGTTTAAAAAAAAAAACTAGAAGCAATACAGATAATGATTGGGGTTATATCATTCTCTGAGAAAAAATTATCAAGTGCCTTTGATATTTTCTCGGGAGCGTGTGCAAATAAGGGTGTGTGCCTGTGGCCAGTTGTAATCGTGGATTTAGGTGTGACCTCAGACTACTGAGAATGGCATTTATAATTCCGACCTACAGAACGCCTTATTTTGTTCTGCTCGAAAAGATAGGCCCGGCTTTCATAAATCAGCTATTGAAAATATCAATTAAAATCTATTTAACCCCTCATTACAAACTTGCTAGCAATTTTGCTATTTTTATAAGAAAAGGCTAGACCCCTCCTCCCATTTAGTTTTTTTTTCCTTTTTCATTTCATTCCTTTGCCTTTTTCTTTCTTTTCTTTTTTTTTTTTTGCGTTCTTTTTCATAAGATTTTGACAGCCTTATAAGAAGATGAGTTTAGAAAACCTCTTCCCTCCTGTAAGATGGGAACATAGCAGTGGTGGCATTCAAATAATTTAACAACCGGTTCTCTGTCCTAATGACCAGCTGGGTAGGTGTGATTCGGTGGTCATGTGGCTGTGTGGTTGTGGCCAACTCAGCGTCATTCAGGTCGATGAGCACTTCGCCTTAGCTGTTACTATGTAATAACCGTTAACCGGAGAGGCAGTTTCTGTAAGCAGGGCACTAAAGATTAGGCTAGAAGCAACATCAGAATGTTTCCTTCCTGCCTGTAAAGTGGTGGTGGGGGGGGGGAGATTTCTTCCAACAACGGGTTCTCTGAACTGCTTAGAAAGTTAACAACCGGTTCTCCCAAATAAGTGTGGACTGGCTGAATCCCACCACTGCAACATAGTTTTCTCTTTCTGAAACCCACATTAAGTGCTAAAGCATGATGCTGTATCTTCCGGTATGATCCCGTGAACTTAAGGAAGCCAAAACTTCTCTTCTCAACTCTGTTCGGATCAGCAGTGGGTGTTGCACAGATGCAGATTGAAAGGCAAATTGTTGCCTTTTGGCTTTTTGTTCCTTGACTGCCATTACTCCCACGGACAGACTTAATACATTTTTTAAAACATTTTTAGCCTTTGCAGAGCTTCACTGAAGCATACAATAGATTATTCAAAAAGAAGACAAATATGGATTTGAATTTAATGTTGAAATACCTCCTTTTTCTTCAACACCATAAAGTTCCTTAGCAGTGGCCGTATTTGTTCTGATCTAAAAAAGTAATTGTATTTTTTTAAATAAAAAGATTTTATTTTATTTTTTAGAACATAAACATTCCATCATTCCTTAAACAGTGTGTCGTCTGGATACAAAAATCTCTGTGCAATAACCATCAAAATTTGCAGCATCCTTTACATTGATATTAATTTTCTAACCTTAGAATTATAATATATGAAACAATTAAACATAATGAATCTGCTCATTTTTTCCTCTTAACATATCTTCTGATAAAAATGTAATAATTATATTAAACATAATAATCCTCATCATCATAAATCTAACAATTGTCATATTGATTATATTGCTATCATAACATATTTTCTACTCTTCTTTAATCTCCTCCTTTTATTTCCAACTTCCAGTTTTATTCTCTAACTATTGATAAAATAATTCCCATAGCATATAACCATGATGACGCACCTATGGCAATGCGTGCCAGAGGTGGACTGCAGAGCCCTCTCTGCTGGCACGCGTGCCTTCGCCCCGGTGAGATCATGAGCTTCTGTTTCCCTGACTAAACAGAAGCTTACGAAAGAAAAAGATCTTACCTCTTGCCATGCTGCCAGTGTTGGGATGCCCCGCCTCCTGCTGACCAGCTGGTCTTCGGGTCTCTGCTACGCATGAATGCATGTCTGCATGCGCGCATACGCACCTTTCAGTTTAGGCATGTGTGTGCGCAGTTTGGGCACTCAGTGCCTAAAAGGTTCACCATCAGTGGCATATAATATTCAGTTTGTTCTTCCTCCTTAATTGCCAATGTTAATCGGTTCATTTCTGCACATTCTAATATTTTCCTAATAAAAGAAGTAAATTGGAATTGGAATGTTGCAATACTTCTGAAGAGTCAGGCCAACTTAGAACACCAACACTGGCCAAATATTGGAGCAATCAAACCAAATCACAACACATCCTTTCTTGTTAGCATGGCCATTCCATTGGATCTATTGCAACTTGGCAGTGGGCAACATATTCAGTGTGGCTATTGAAAAATAAAACCGAACCAATCTCAATTTATTCAAAAAAGTAAGGATTCCCTGAAGATTTTACTCCGCTAGTCATCACTGACTATATGGGATGGTGCTCATCCCCATTTCAAGGCCACTGAGCCAGGCCTGCCTGAAGACATTTCTGCGGTCATGTGGTCAGCAAGACTTCATGAACCGCTGCTACCTTCCCACAGAAGTGGTACCTATTTATCTACTCGCATTTGCATTGTTGCAAAGTGCTAGGTTGGCAGGAACTGGGGCGAGGACAGGAGTTCACCCCGTCACATGGCACTTGGGTCTCGAACCTGAGTCGTCAGCTTTCCAACCAGCAAGCCCAGTGTCTTAACTGTCGAACCACCATGCTGCTCCAATTTATCTAAGATAACAACAACCTCCACTTTCGTTTCTATGATTTTTCATGTTGCAATTCTGTTTGACATGTGCTGTGAACAGGTGGCAGAACCTGTTCAACCATGCCTGACTTGAGAAGATATACAGGTCAAGCTTGATTAATATTTGAGTGGGAGAATTCCAAGCAATGGTGGGCTGAATGCTCAGGTGGGAAATCACAACACACTCTAAAAGAAATAAGTGACAAACCACATCTGTGCTCTTTCTATACAGTTCCATAAATTGTATCCATTTAGCCCCCCACCCCATCCCGGGAGTCAATTAGAAATTGAAGGAGCCCTCTGATCATTGAGATACATTTGAAAAGATTCAAGTGTTCAAATTCATGTCTGTCTGTCTGTCTGTCTGTCTTTCTAGCTAGCTAGCTATCTCCATCCAAAATTCATGTATGCCAGGAAACCCCCCCCCCCCCAAATTAAACAGCTAGGAATTACAAAAATGCTATATTTTTTCAATGAAATAAGATACAAAAT